GCATAGGGCCAGTAGGGCTACAGCTACACTGCCGCTTTTTGTGGACGAGGATAGGCAAATCGCACTTGCATATCTTCTTCCGATTCTTTTTGCGGAGGAGGTTTTGCCGATGAAAAGCCCTGTGTAGACGGGGCCATGTGTCGGAAAAAACCTTTCTTTCGCAAGATCCCGTAAACCTCGATTTTTCAGGAATAAGGGATCTTGTGAAAGAGAGATTTTTACGGGCAAAACCTCTTCCGCAAAAAGAATCGGAAGAAGATATGCAAATGCGAGCGTGATTTGCATATCCTCTTCCACAAAAAAGTGGCAGTGTAGCCAGCCTCAGAGTCCCCCACTGGCCCGTGCTCCCTGTGGGGCTTCGGCTTTTGAACTGCAGCAAAAGTCCAGCCGGGCACTTGCTACCATTCAAAGGCGGAAGCGCCCTTATAGACTAACCGAATAGTCAACGGAAATCTCATCAACTATTCAGTTAGGGTATGTCTACACTTGCACCCTGGTTTGAACTAAGGATGCAAATGTAGGCATTCGAAATAGTAAATGAAGCTGGGATTTAAATATCCTGCGCTTCATTAGCATAATCTCGGCTGCGTGCTGTTTCGAAACCCTGCTGAGGCTATTGCCCTGCTGGGTCCAGTTTAGCCGCATTTATATCTACACTGATTGTTTCTAGCAGTGGAAACTAAATAGATCGCAGCAAGCAATTTATTATTATTATTTTTTTACGAGGAACACCAAGGATTTTTTTTGTTGAGAAAAAAAAAGAGGAGTTGGGGGGGAAAAGGGTCAGGGAAAAGTTATTGAGGAAAAAAAAGTTTCCTGCCCCTTTACGGGTGGCCATTTTGAATTCTGCTGTTCTCCGCAGCACACTTCCAACTGCCTCGTGGCACACCGGTGGGCCACGGAACACAGTTTAAGAAACACGGTGCTACAGACTCTCAGAGCCCACCCTGCCAACTGTCCAATCACACAAACTGAAACACCCTTGCTCCTGCCCCACCCCATCCCTTAGGCCAGGCCCCGCCCTCTCTCTAAAGCCTCACCCCCACTCATTCCATCCCCCTCCCTCAGGCATTCACTCTTCCCAACCCTCACTCACTTTCACCCGGATGGGGCCAGAGGTTGGGCTGTGGAAGGGGTGCGGGCTCTGGGCCGGGGCTGAGGGGTTTGTAGTGTGGGAGGGAACTCTGGGCTGTGCCTAGGGCAGGCGGTAGGGTATAGGGGGGGGCAGGCTTGGTGAGAGAGATGAGGTGCAGAAGGGGCTCAGGGCTGAGGCACAGGACTAGGGGGTGGGAAGGGGTAGGGGGTGAGTTCTTGGAACGGCTTGAGGCTGGGGCAGAGGGTTCTGGATGTAGGAGGGAGTGCAGAGTGCTTGCTCCGGGAAGGGGCTCAAGGCAGGGACAGAGGTTTAGAACGTGAAAGGGGGGTGCAGGCTCCAATCTGGTGGTGTTTACCGTGGGCAGCTCCCGATTACCCTCTCATAGAACTGGAAGGGACCTTGAGAGGTTATCCAGTCCAGTCCCCTGCTAAGGTAGGCTCCCTGCCTGCTCTGGCCCCATGCTGCTCCTAGACTTGTCCAGCAAGTTCTTATGACCCCTAGGCCAAGAGAGCGAGGAGGTCTCTGTGCACTGCCCTTACCTGCAGGCAATGTCCCTGCAACTCCCATTGGCTGCAGTTCCCAGCCAATGGGAGCAGCAGAATCAGTGTCAGCCACTTCCAGGAGTGCCACGGGTCCAGAGCAAGGAGGGAGCCTGCTTTAGCACTACTGGAAATATCACCATTTGGCTTCAGAAGCCTCCAGGAGATCAAGCCAACAAATCCAGGAGCGTTGGCCACCCTAGCACCAAGACGAGCTCCAAAGAGGTTAGGACTTGGGCACACACAAATTCCTCTAGGTTTTGCAGTGCCCCCCAGAAAAGGACACGCTGCTCCATCCGTAACAAACGGCACATTTTGGTGGGGTCATTAGCTTCCTGGTGTTCCCCAAAGGAAAGGGACTGTTCTTGGGCCAGACATGGTCAGGGAAATGTTTCTTGCCCGGCTCCTCCCTCTTGCATGACCCTCTTCATGTGACCCGTTAGATCAGTCCCCAACCGTCTGTGTTCAAGTCGAGCAGTAAGGCTCAGGACTTACAACTTAAGAAATATTTGTGCTTAGTTGTGAAAAGAAACGCATCTGCACTAGAGAGTGCCGAGCACGTGCCTTTCCATACTGTTTGGAGCCGCAGGTGCCCTCCTCACGTCCCCAGCCCTGCTATCGCTCAAAAGGAACAAAGGCGCCTCGCTGCCATTTTGTTCAGCCTTCGCTGGCCAGCTGGAGCCTGGGAACCCAAATCTGTGCAAACACTTAGCTCTCCCGTTCCGTGGGGAAACTAAATTCTGGTTACTCATTAACAGCGCGGTGACACAACCAGGTCATCGTTATTGATGAATGGCTTCCCTCCTTCTCCTCAGCTTTGCAAAAATATGTATCCATTGATTTTTAAAATGGCATGTTTATAATGCAACCTGGCGCTAGGGATGCGAACCCCATCGTAATGAGCGGGGCTGCCAAAGGTGTCTAACCAAGATGCTGCTGTCCCTTCACTTTGTGGCCTCTGGAAAAACTCAAGAGAAGCCAAACTACCCCACATCTGTCTACTCTGGGGTTCTTACACCTTCCTCTGAGAGCAGCCTTCAACTGCCTGAAGGGAGGTCCCCGAGAGGATGGAGAGAGGCTGTTCTCAGTAGTGACGGACAGGGCCGGACTAAGGGGTGGGCTAGCTGGGGGGTGCCCAGCTCCCAGCGGGCTGCAGCAGCCGCCTGGGGCGGGGGCCATGTTAACCGCCACAACAATGGC